TGGTATAACATGGATTTCCCAATTTTTTTTGTTATAATAGAAAAAGCTTCGAAGGATGGAGTAACATCAAGATGAAAGAGACAATGGAATTTTGTAAGCCAAAGGTGGCTTCAAGCAAGCCTTCTATGGCTCCATTTTGCTCGTAAGCCTTACTCGTTTCATCACTTACTAATATTGTGAAGATTGATATCAAATGAATGATAATTCATAATATAGGCAATGTGGGAAGTTATTCAAACCCGAGAAGATGCATTCACACATGAAATTGTGTCGAGGGATGAAGAATTCATCTTCGAAGAATGATTCGATCACGGGCAATAATACTGGTAAACCGAGGCAGCAACGATGCAGAATCATTCCGGGAAATCCATTGGGACATCAACGTGTAGTGAGGACTACTCTCAAAGAATGATCATGCTCATAAATGATTCTATCTAGCTGTGAAATTGCGATGCAAACGTTGTTCACTTATTCCATAAATATCGGTTTGATGAAGCGCAAAGATTGTTTGGGTATCATGAGCTTAGTTTTTTGTTCAGAAAATGGATTTGGATATATCTAAAGTTAATGTTAGAAACTAATTGATCAAAAATTTTTGAAAATTTATTTCTTAGATACTCATTTGAAGTTTCATCCTTAGCAAAAGAAAAATAAAAACTAGTTTATTATTTCGTGTGCGAGGACATGGTATGAAGAGTTCCGCTTAATTATTGTATTTTCATGCGGTATTATGTGCATCACTGCATATGAGTTATTGGTACATTAGGTTGAGAATGTAATTGTCACAAGCCGTATGCATTAGTTAATATACAACATGACCTTTGTCGTTTCGTTCCCGAATATAAAATCTTGAATTTTCAGTTTTGTTTCTAGTACATAAACATTTTTTTTCTATAATATTTTTAACGTCTACTTTGACCATATAAGATTCAAAGGTTAAATGAAAATTGCCCTCGATATAGACTATGCATTATAATTTATTTCGTTGCTTCGACGTTTCTGCCTCTGGTCAAATAAGGCTCTCTCTTGTTTCCGATCTCTATTTAAACAAACAACTTTGCCTGATCAAAACTTCAATCTATAACTCATCGATCTCC